TCCCACCATTAAACATCTTAGACATCTTGTATTAATCATTGGATAATGTACGCTGACATCTCATATCCAGTTCTCTCGCATTGCGAATAGCAAACTAGCTGGATGCAGCTGCTGGCACGTCATCGGGGCAAGACTTATCGTCGTGACATGGGCGTCATCTCCGGCCATGACAATCGTTTCTTTCTATCGATGGATGCGAACGGCCATCACTGTTGTTGCCCACACCAACCATATCCAAGAAAAGCATAGCAATCCTTGGGCCAAGTTGAGTCTTCGTTTTCTCTGCTTGTGTGGCATTGGCTTATGGTTCGATCTTGCACTGGCACTTGCACTTGCACCTTGAATAACGTTCTGTCTAGTTCAGGGCCTTGAACCTTTGAAGCCTTTACACTTAACACGGGCAATGGTCGTTAATATCTACCTGGTGCAGTATAAACCTGCCTGAGGACGCGATGGCCGTGTAGTTTACCACCTTCACTTCCTCTTGGGCGCCCGGGTCCGAGCTGCGACTGCACCATGGCCATTGAGCGCCGACATGGCAACTGCAGCCGCTGGCACTTCATGAAGTGTACGACGACTGCGCTGGCGTCCCTTCTGGTAGAAAAGCACAATCTGGCTTCCCGGTTTCAAACATATGTAGACAAGGCACATTTCGCTTAAAATTACCATAGCCATTTAAGCAAGCTTTATTGTTTTCCCACGTAGCATTATATTAATATATGATAATTTTTGTCATGTTATCAGGTTAATTCATCTGCAAACTGCTCTTATTTGCTTTGTCATTGCGATAAGGCACGGCTTGCATCATTCCAGTGTGGGCAGGTAAATCCCGTACTGCGGACTTCAATATAAAAGCGTGAAAGGAATCGATTCCGTTATCGTCACAAGCATCAATATCTTTTTTATTCGTATTCATCCTTGCTCTTGCTCATCACTCTGCATTATTTGTCGACTCATAATAGCTGTTGTCGAATACCACGCAAAAAACACAAAAAGAGATGACCCGAGCTTGGGTCATACCAGTTGGCTTAAACACAACTGTTTCATTTCATCCCTTCGTTTCATACCCTTCTTCTTCGTTCTACAGTAGTGGGACATAATAGAACTATTCTAATTATTGATGTCAAAAGCGGAAATATCTGATAATGGACAGAATACAAATACCACTTATTGTCTACACTAAGGCTTGTATGAGGAAAACTGGTTTTGGGTGGGTAGGCACACGCTCCGGTCGGATTAATTTGACCTCCCAGGTGTTTCCAAAATAACGTCCTAGCGGTGCGGCGTAGTAATACCAAATCTTACAGACCTGTACACAACTAAATTGCGGAACTTATACAACAAAGATCATTTTTCTCTATAGAGTCACTAACTCGTAATAGGGTGCAACCAGGTTATAGCTGTCCGTCAAGACCATCGTTATTGAAACTTTTGCTCTGAGTGATAGAGGGCTTCATACAACGCTGGGATGGTTTGAGTGATAGAGGGCTTCATACAACGCTGGGATGGTTTGAGTGATAGAGGGCTTCATACAACGCTGGGATGGTTTGAGTGATAGAGGGCTTCATACAACGCTGGGATGGTTTCCTAAACAGTTAAACAATTGCTCTATCAAAATTACAGCTCTTTTCGTTATCCTTGGTTCAGGTACGAGGACTAGATGAAGATCAAAACTAACTGCAGTAGGGTTAGTGAAAAAACATGCCATATATGTAAGCTTCACGCTGCTTTCGAGATCCTTGATCACAAGGGGGCCGGCAAATGTCCTATGTTGATTTCTTAAATGTCATTGGCGGCTGCTGGCCTAAATGACTTTGATCATATTTTCTCCAAGAAGCATGTCATCAAGAGTGGTGCCTTGCACGTTGGTTTTTTTAAATTACAAATAACAATAACCCTGAAATCCTCGTCCTTTGAAGCTTCGCAACGTCAGATAAGGTGAGCTCGTTATGTGAGGATGTCTGAGGCCATTCGGACGCTGCTGTCGGGTTTCAACTTGTTTGGCTTTATTAACCCGTAGATCACGTCCTAGATACATACATATTTGACAACTGTGAGTCTACATGAATTCCTTTTTGCCCGGGAATTTATGTTTTGAGACCTCAGAATTTGTGCGTTAGACCTTTCAGAGTTTGAACTTGTTTGACCCTATTAACCCAAAGATCACGCCCTAGAAATAAACATTTGACGACTATGAGCTCACATGGATTCCTACTTGCCCTGGGAATTTAGACCTCCTAATTTGGGGTATCTTAGCGGCTCAAATTGACCCCCGCCCAAGCACGCCGTTTTCAACCGACTGCCCGGACACGCATGAAGGTTAGCTCAATGACAAATGGATTACAAATTTCTAAAAAAGGTGGATGCTGTGCTCAACCTTTATGAAAATAGCAATTTTACAATGTGTGTATGAGATGAAACTTTAGCAAGGAAGAGGAGACGCTGTCGCGTTACAATCACATTCCATTCATTCAACACAACTCGCAGGCTGATATTCCGTAGGATGATACTCGGGTGGGTTGATGCCTCCGTAGGTTGATGCTCGTAGGATGATACTCCGTAGGTTGATGCTCCGTAGGTTGATACTTCGTAGACTGATACTCCGTAGGTTGATGACTCAGTAGGTTGATACTCCGTAGGTTGATACTCCGTAGGTTGATACTTCGTAGGTTGAATGTACAACCTCCGTGGTACATTCCATTCATTC